GGAAAGATAAGACTTAACTGTAAAAGAAGTTACATTGTTGCTGTCATATAAGAAAATGTGCAATAGCTACCAGCCGAAACTTACATAATTTTATTTTAAAACCTCTCCTCGGTTCTCAGATATTACTAAATATAAATTATTTCAATATATTGTATTCTTTGCAGAACATTTGCAAATCAGCCAATATTGTTTTTCAAAACGTGTTGAAGTAATTTCACAGTTCACCTTTATTTTTCCATAGATCACTGGAAACAAAAGTTATATGTAGATGCCAAAGAAAACATCTTTTATCTGAAGTTTAAATCATATTTATTGTAAATATCATGCACACATAAAGTCCTTTAAACAATTTAAAAAATGAACTAACAAAAAGGCAAAAACCTAAACAATTAAAGCTATATTTGAAAAATATAATTCTCCACTGATTATTGCAATAGAACATAAACTGTAAAGATTATTGGAAACCGATATATTATATAACTATTATAGTATATTAGAACTAAAATAGCCAGAAACTCATGAAATACATATTTCGAAATCACAATAGCAAATTATTTATTTCCAAGGGTTTGTAGATTTTATAATAATCAAAATGATCAAGAACAAAATAATTGTCATAAGAGTTTCCATAGGTTCGCCTATGTATGATTAGATAAGACTATTTCATTCATTATTTCAAAGAATACAACCTCAAGAAAATATAATTTGATCAATATTTAATGTACAGAGTGTCCCAGAATAAGCCGTCAATATGTCGTATTCCCTTAATGTTGTAAGCAGGCACCACCACAATGCTTTGCAGTGGTGCCGACTAAACTCACATTATTAAAGTTAAAATTAAGTAGTAAAAAGTGTAATTTTACACGTAGTTTTTATGGAATAATTTCATACGTTGATTCAACATGAGACTCTTTCACGTATTGGCCCGCTTGAGAGTTGTCGGAATCGAAACAGATCTTTTTAAAGCTTTTTTCCATAAACAACAAACACTAATTTGGTGTTAATAATGATATAAAATAACCTTTTTTGGTCATGCAATGAAAAACAAAGTTATTTTAGGGCATTTCAACTAGTATCCTTCACATTAGAAAATATAATGGTCTGAATTCAAGAGGCCCAGCTCGTATTCTGCGACACCCCGTGCGCGAAAATATATGGATAATTTATGCAAATGAATTAATGTAAATATGTATCCTAAGCTCTAATTGTTTGAGGAAACAGAAATAACTTGAACACGATTATTAAACATTTATTAAAGCAAAGATGTATTAATTAGAAAATCTGTAAACTCTATTAAATATGTATACAAGTTAGATTAAACATTTATTTAGACATTCCTTTTCGATTTAGTCTATGCAAGAAAACAGTTTATAGGAAATAATTAGTTCCTTCAACCGTGGATCACAAGAACAGTAATTCTTAATATCAGTACAAACAGATATTTATTGGCAAAATCAAGGAAATAACAAATATATACATGTGATTTAGATAACTGTATAATCTCATCAAAGGTTTGCTTAGCATCGGCACAGTAACCCGTACAGAATTAGCCCAAGTTCTCAGTAGGGCTTTTCACCAAAAAAGAAATTCATAAGGGAATAAATAAAATGGTCAATATTTAATATTTATCTAGTTTTGTGGGAAAACACATTTGTATGATTTTTATATGCAAATGAGAAATTGCTTTTACACTCGTCCGATATTATACTTGATCGACATAAAATATTCAAAGAAACCATCCACATATTTTCAACTAGAATATATATTATGTTTCTAAGTACATCTACAATAAACTAAAAAGGCATATTCCTAGGTAATTCTTTGTATCCCCAAAATATATAAGTACTAGTAAATATACAAAAATGAGGCCGCACAAACTACTTCACTAATATTTGGCATAATACCGCGCTTCATCATTGCTGGCAAAAATGCCCTGTAGTAAGCGTTACCCACTTGTTCTGAATCTTATTTTAAGTAATCAAAATACATATTTAATTTAAGTTTCACGTTAACACTAAGGCTTGAATCACTTCTTATTTATTCATTATACTTATAAGTCTAGAAAAAGCGTATGTGTTCACGATTCTCTTCATCTTGGTCAAACGAAAAATGTCTTACTAGTACAGTTTTTTAAAAAGATTATCTGGCTACCCATAACTGAGACATATAGAATTGAAATAGCTTAGCTTGAAATTCTAAAAATTGTTATGAATAAAATAAAAAAATTCACTTATAACAAGTAACAATATTAGTTTCGAGAAAATAATTTGATAATAGCTATTTTAAAATTAGACTAATAAAATACAGTTAAACATATTCACAATAGTATTTCTATTAAATTCACAATGGAAATAGCACATTAAAGGCAAAAGCAACGTGTTTAAGAAGTTCTTAATAGATCACATATATTATCAATTAACACTAAGATTGGTATTTTAAGTTTGCACATATATCTTGAATGAGAACATTTAACATCTAATTAGAAAAACTAAATTAGTATATTCAGTTTATATTTAGAATAAGACTTAAAAGGACTAGTTTTAACCAATCAATATAAACTAAATATGTGTAGGCCTAATATAAGCATAGATAGATCAATGAATGCACAGTTACTGTAGTGTGTACCACGTACCATGTAACCATAAACACAATATATCTTTTGTTGATAGAATTTGTAGATACCCCTATATAGTGGCATTTTATAAATAAAACTAGAAGTAAGTCTACACGATTGAAACTATTTTTATCTATAAACTATAAAATGAAAATACCTAGCTTTTCGAGTTTCGTTTCCTTATACATCTCCTGCCAAATTTCTATTCTGAGAATCACAGTCAAATATTTTATTTAAAAAATGAGCTGGAAATCGGGAACTTCGCTAATAGTTAAACGAAAAAAACACCTAAAATAACTTAAAAAATATCACACATCTAAAAAGTCTTTTAAAAGAGTAGTTCTTCGTTTTTCTGCAATATCCATTTGGTTTTCTAAGTCACCCCTATCGGTGGTTTCAGCTCGCTCAACTTTCCAACTCAAATTTTCTATTTCAGCTTCCAGCTGTGCTTGTTGATATTCAAATAATTCCTTTCTCGGGCCCGCATCCATGTAATATGCAAAAGGATATGTGTATTGAAGTGTATAGCGACATTTTGCTAACAGATTTGCTGCTGTAAATAAATATTGCCAGTCGATCCAAGTACCTAAAATCATATACTTTTGCACTGTTTTAATCTGTAAGTCGGTGTATGAATTAAAGTTGAATTTCCGAAAATAGAAGATGAGCAATATATTCTATAACAGGGTGTTAAGCATCAGCAAACAACGATCAGCTTGGAGAGCATATTGCTTAACAACATTATATGTCTACATCCTTCGCTAACCAAATGAGATGCATAAAAAGTGAAATCGTCTCACTGCTTTACATGATAATCGGATGTGAGCTCATTATTGCAATCTCTGGGTCGCTCGGGAACGAACCATTGGCGTTTTAGCGTTATATCCTATAAGGATTTAATCAAAGGACATTGAAATATGCTTGTTAATATTTTTGATCAATAGCTCGACATTTTACGAAAAAGCTAAGCGAGTAAACGCTCAAAATATTATTAAATATTGTAAGTTCCGCTCGAAGAATGCCTCTTTCACTTTTATAGCAAACGAATGGCAATCGTCACTATGTAGTCAAACTGTCGAAACATTGCCGCAACCATCATAAATATACCTTAAGAAATAATCAAGTAAAAACAAATCATAAGTTACGCAAATGCGAGTTTTTGGCAGCGTGGTAAAGCCGGGAACGTCATGCCGTCCGTTGCAACCTTATGGAAAAGCGGTTAATGTCAGTGGGTGAAAATTGGAAGAAAACGGTAATTTTCTGGGAAAAATAAGTCGGCATATACAAGAAGGATGTTGTTTGTAATGTGGTTTTCTACAATATGAGCAAATTGTTAATCGCGAACGCAAAAGCCTGCGGTCGTCGGATTTCACAACCATTGCCGATAAATGTAACAACCACTTAAACAATATGACTTACCTAAACCGGACATGACTTTCTGATTAATTCGATCCCTGAGTTTTTCCAATGTTTGTTCTTCTAATTTCAAAGATTTCGAATGGTTCTCCCACCTCTCATAATAATGCAAGTATTTCTTCAGAGCCTCTCTGGCTTGTGCATGCACCGACTCATGAGCTATGTTAGGATTTTCTCTATACCTTGAGCATTCATAATATTCCGATCCATGAGATTTCCAATCACCCAAACACATCCAACAGAAATCATGCTTGCAATTGTAACACTGCATATGATTGCAACCTCCATTTTTTTCTATGCATATGTGGCACTTTGGACAGTCTTTGGTATGAGCACTAATATAGTTTGCTGTTTCACTATCATCCGCACATTTTGTTAACCACTTTTTTATAACTTGGCAATCCGTTGGAGCATGATAATCACATCCGCATCTAATTATACGAAATCCAGTTAATTTTAAAATGATTGCGTAACTATGGTTATAGTACCTGAAGCAAAATATGGTCTTGCACTGGGTACAAACGGCTCGTTTCGCTTTGATTTCACTGCTATGAATGATGATAGAGCAGTTCGGCCCGGGACAAAATCTCAATTCGGGATGCGCCTTAACATAGTCTTGGAAGATGAAATGTTGATACTTTTCCCTAATGCTAGTTTTATGATGAAGGTGCTTCAAAACAAAGTCTTCAGGTGCCAATACAATACAATCTTTAGCCATGCAACTGATAGCAGTGGATATTCCCTGGAACAAACACGTAAATATACCGAAATAATGTTATGCATCATTTTAACCGGTGATTCTTACCTGGCTGATCTGTACTTCGAAATGTGTCGTCCAACATTCGCGACAAAATATATGGGCACATGACAAATGAAAAAACTTGTCTATATTTTGTGTAGTAATACAGACTGAACATGCTAAGTATGTCGATGTAAAAAGTATACTCTTGGGTGGAGAAGGTGGATTAATTCTCGCTCCAATAAGTGTCTGCTGAGGATTTTCCTTATATTTATGAATAACTTCATTGGTATTCCAGTGCTGGCTATGCAGCAAAACCTGTAAGCAGTTTATATTAGATTATTCCTAAATAACTGAATGTTTTCTCACTAACTTTGGCTAAGGAAGGAGATATAATTAGACGGTTACTGAGACTTTCCACAGTTTCATTGAGTAGACGTTCCACTTCTTCTTCAGACAGACACTTGTAATCAAAGTATTCTGGATCAACTCTAGTTGGATCTATGCGTTCAATATCGCTATCTTCATCATTATAGTAATCATTATAATCATAATATCCATCTTCATTGTCGGAACATTCCATATCCGAGTCAGCGTCTTGTGATGTAGCCATATCTTCAGTACGATTTCTGTATGTGACTAATTATAAGAACTATTAAATATATCATGAAACCATAATCATTGTTCTCTAACGTTCTTCTGTTCGCTGAAATGACAATCAATTTAGTCTCATTAATGAGTTTAAAAAAAATTAAATCACCTGTTTACTTTTGAAGACCTTTAAGTCGCCATTTGCAAATCAAACATCAAACATCAGTTTGACAGTTGTAAGGGTGTGGACAGAAATTTACTCGAAGTGCGAACACGTATAAAAAATAAAATGTATTCAATCTGCATGATACAAACTATGACGTCATCAGCGAGTAATCTATTTTAATTAATGGATTTTCATACTCTATGTCAAGAAAGAAAACATAATTTCTTAAAATCATATAGGTATAATGTTACACGTATTTTCTAACTATATCTGCTCAGATCTCAATTGATAATTATTTTGAAATGCAAAAATCAGGTACCTAATTACGTTCTATGAACATCCAAATTATTGAAACTAAGTAGTGCAGCCCAATTTGTAAGGCTTGCATATGTTCTTAAATATTTTGGTTGGTTAATTGAAAATTCACACCTAGGACATTTTACTGACGGCAAAAATCTATTTCCGTTTGAAATTCCCGCGAGAAATATCAGCAGCCAGTGCAGCCACGGTCGTTGGCCGGTTGAAAGTGCATAGACCCTATCGCACCTGGCAACAGTGTTTTGACAGGTTCGACGTATAAATGATATTATAGGTTGTCAAAATGAAACATTTTAAAGGCAAATTTTGACAAATAATAAAAAGTGTAAATAAATAATGATATTCATAGGCCGATTAATTGTTTATGTGTTAGATTTAAACGTATTTGCAGATCAGAAATTTATAGATTTATAGATAAACTTGAGAATGTTGAGAAAATTATTTGATTAAAAACTTGTTGCGTTGGACCAGTTTACAAAAATAATCATATTAAGTCATTTCTAGCGTTATCAATTGAAATGTACTCATTGAAACGCCGTGTAATAAGTTGATTTATCGCATCTTAGTCACCGATGCCTAGAACTTCGTTTTCCAAAAGATAACTACAATGAAATAATGAAAATATTCTCAACATGGGTAAGCAGTACATTAACCTAGACGACAGTTTATTTTATAACCATACCATAGAATACCACATCTTAAAATGTGTCGTTTTGTTGTTATTAATTGAGAGAATGTTATAGAGGATGGAGCAGCTATAGCTTCTACATCCAGTGAAACAAAAGTGGAAAAAATGGTAGCCAGCACTACTAATAATGCTGCAAGAAAAGTGATACTTGTGGAACGAAAAAAACAAATTGAAGAAAAACTAGCAAAATGCAACCACGACCTCAGAGCATTATGTATTCAGGTATTTACATTTAAATGTGTGTTGATGTACAACCATCTAACATTAAACATATTTTAGGAAGCAGAGCTGACTGGAATCACTCCCCCAGAAATGCCATTGGAAATAGGAGAAACTCCTCCAACAATAAGAAGAAAAGTAGGTACCGCATTTCAACTAAATGAAAACCTCGTAAATAATAGCAATAAGGACCAGTTGGTTACTAACTTGGAGCTGGAGATTCAGTTACATATGAAATTGAGAGATGCGGCCTTAGGCTTATCTGGTGAAGGAAACATAAGTAAGGTAGGCATAAAATAATTCCTATTTTAAATGCGTTGTATATTTAACATTTTCGCATTTTGTGTAGAATATTGACCTTCCACATCACTTGGGTAGGTCTGAATTAACATTGATTTCATGTAATCTAATCTTCTAATTCTTTCAACAACCTGTCTGTTGTTTATACGGAGATTATTATTATTACATTTCTGACTACACCCTCTTATTTCCTGAAATGTATATTATCGCTATGTTGAGATATGAAATTAACTCGAATATCTGAAAATTTGATAATATTTATTTTTTATCTCATTTCATGTTATTAAATCTCAACCGGTGGTAATATCAGAAATTGAATAATATTGATTGATTGAAAGAGGCGTAGATTGTAGATCTTATAACCCTGATAATTTAACAATATGTATTCTAATAAACGAGAGGTATTCAGGCGTTCGCCGTAAAGATAAAAGTATGGGGCCTGTTAAATTACTTACTAAAAATTAAGTCCAAACGCTCTGAAATCGATGTTTTTTAAATACAGAAGACGCTTATAACATTCTGCCCTTCAAGAAATTCAATCATTTATTGCAAATACATTTGAACTAGTTCTATTTAAATTAAGTTTTATAGAGTCAAAATTGAAATAGTACTGTTCAAGGAATGGAAGTATTCGCGATCATCGTTTAGATTTGGTCGATGGGGTGGTAAACGACCAATTAAAAATAAATTATAACTATTTTTTTATTGTCTATTTTTCCTTATGGTTATTAAACACGTCTATGGATAGCGGCAACTTCTTAATGATATTTTTTAAGCGACAAGGGATATTGACCGCCTGTTTTGTATACTCTTTATAACAAAATTAAGGTCCGCTTATAGCTGGAACCGATTCCTTAAATGGTTTTTGCCTGCCAACTAGGAACATTATCCGTCAGTTTTTTAAACAGATTTAGACTTACTTTTGATACTTCCTTATCATATAATCAAATTGTATTGTAGCATCACCTATATTAATTTTGAACGTCCATATCAACAAAAGTAAAACGAAACTTTTGTCTTTAAATTTTGTAATGATTATTAAGAAATAAACATTTATTGCATTTATCATTATTAACATAATAAATAAAATAAGTATCTTATGGCAGAAAATTTAGATATTTGTTCTCTTAATTAAGTATAATAATAATGGAACCATTGAGAGAATGTGCAGTCTGCTGTTGATTGAAATTCTCGAATAAAATCTTCTTGCAGTAGAAACAACGTTAGAGGAAAATTTGCTATATCCGAAACTAAAATTCCAAAAAACGTTCGTATTAATACAAAATTCAATTCAGCTTTAGTATTAATCTTCCAGGAAAAATTTAGTATTTTATTTGGATTTCTATCAAAATACAGTAGATTGATTTTTTAATTGAACATACTCGCCATGTTAAAAGTCCTTATAATACTGACCTTTTTACGTTACAATTATATATTATGTAACATTTTTTAAATTAGAATTTGTTTTTCACATATGCAATTTCGTGGCAGTATGACTATGAAACATCTTCTTGACATAATTAATTTGCTGATTGTAACAAATGTTAATTGCAAACATTTTGATGTCAATGCGTACAATTTGTTGCTTATCTTTGCATGCCACTGTTCTAATTACATACTGTTATTGTTGGGAAGGAACATTGTTTTCACCACCTTATTGATTGCCGTACATTTTAAAGTTATTTATTACTTTGACTAAATTATTATGTTGTAAGTTAATAGGACTATGTATTATTTAAAGTTACGGTATAAAATAATTCCCGATAGAAAAAACCGTAGTAAATATATTATGTAAACAACACTTGTTTATTCTCCCACAATAATATAAATTAGCATTTAGCCCATTTGATCGATTTTGCTTATAATAAACAAATATTGATTTAGACTGTTAAAAGACAACACCGAGCAGAATATCAAAAACATAAAGAACAAGTGAAGGCTCTAGAAGAGAAGCTTGCTTTACTGAAGGAAAAGACAGCATTCGAACAAATAAAGCAGAAGAAAAAGTCAAGAATTCCAGATCCACAAGGTAAATTATTGCTGTTATTTTATAGCAGATATCAAATGATGAATGTGTTAAATGTTTCTTCCAACATCTAAATATTTAATGTTTATCGATATCCGTTTATGCTCACCCGAATTAAATACATGTGTGTGTTTAATTAATTTACATATAGACGCATGAGACAGAAATTCGCTTTATCTGTTGTTATGTTATATTATATGTTATGGTGTCGGTGATTATCTAAAGCAGTGTTTGCCCAGGATATTGCAAGCTTTTCATTAACCGAAGCGTACTGACTTGAACTATAATCATTAAATTCGAATTAGAGCAGTTTTTTCGAATCCTTTTATTGGTCGAAAAAATGCACTTCGTTATGGACGTCTATATATAGTTACATCTGGTGATCAGAAATAATTTGCACATTTGTCTATACTGCCGATTTCCGGATTTAGCACACATGTCCAGATGGAGTTAATCTTGATGAAAATGCAAACGAAAAAATGAAACATCATTTCATTTGTATTTATATGGAATCAAGGCACTCTGTATCAGGAAAACAATATTTTTGAAAGCATTATTTGAATCTTAATAAAATCCGCGAACATTCAAAAAGGATTGGCAAATAGTTAAGCTGATTAGTAAAGTCTAACCACCCCAGGAGCTCGTCCATAACCAGACACCACATGCGGAGGGAAAGGCAGGTCCCTTGTGGGCATGAAGATTCTTTCCAGTAGCTGGAGTAAGATATTTAAGTCCGACTGTAGCATTTTTTCGAATTATCCCATCTGCAAACCGCCCATCTGATAGCGTCATCACTGACTACTCTTTTGGTCGTGGTCCAGTCCTTGACCTCCGAGTCTCCGGTGCCGCCGTCGCCTGGGAAGTGTTTCGCTAGGACAAGTTGTAAGGTCTGCTTTTTCGTTTCCGTCCAGGTTCCATCTTCCTCCTTAAGGGTTCCTATTTCGTTTTGCGATTTACCTGTGCTGAGGATCTTCGCAAGCCGGGCCCAATCTGTCAGACACTCGATCTCGTCGCAGAATGTTTGCCAGCTTATTCTTTTAAATCTTCTCAATTCCTACATAAATCCTATAAAACACTTATATTGTTATAATGTATTTCTGTTCTCTCTATTTTAGATGATAACATATCTGTAATAACAAATGAAGCCTATTCAACACTCGAAAGTCGACAGAATCATATCTCTAACAAACATGGTTTAATTATGCTCAGTCCAACAGATACATACCCAGAGTCGAGATATCCTCCGAGTACTTCCAGACAGTCTCATTACAGCAGAAATTCTGAAAGTATTCCCGTGCAGTATGCTAAACCAGATGAATTGCTGACTGCTGGATTTTACCGATTAAGTGTAAACGGATATAATGAGTATATTGAAAGGTAACTGGTGCTTTCCCTAAATCGGCGTTATTAACAACAGCATTTTTGTATTCTAGCCAAGAAGAAATTACCAGTGTTCCACATTATAATTATCCAATCCAAAACTTTGGTTATAGCTATCCCCATTCATCGCATAGTCAGTCCTTGCTAATGCAACAACACAGTCCATCTGCTGCGTCTCAAAATAGTTCACAGCTGTCCCAGCATAGTCCGCATTTATCACAAAGTATTCAATATTTGCCGCATCAAAACCTTCATTACCCTCAGCATAGTCCATTATTATCCCAACACAGCCCAATGCCTCAACAGGGTTCAATCTCCCAACAAAGCCCTCAAACGCAAAGGAAAAGCCCACATTTATCCCAAAGTCCACTGTCTCAACATAGCATGTCAATGCAAAGATCTTCTCAAAATTTTTCGAGAATCAGCCAACAATACGTTCAAATGCGACAGTCTAGTCCTACAAGTCACAATAAAGTTCAATATTATTCTTCTCACACAATTCATGGAGAACCTATGTATAACAGGTATACCGTTGATGCTAGTGGTTATCGAAATTCGTCAGATACAATGCACTTACCATATCCACATCCTATACAACCTCATCAACAATATGAAAATAATGGCATGAGCTCAGGATTAGGTGGTTCATGGAAACGATCTGAATCAGGACAAATGTATTGGGTTTATTCTTCTAACACGTTGGATAGCAATTGGCAAAGAGATAAAAGGCAAGTGAACGCTAATTTGGAAAGATTCCATTACTTAAGCGGTATTTTATGCTATATTATTATTTTATTACAAAAAATAATTCCTCATAAATCATTCTACATCGTCGGAAGTCTAAAAATGTTTTCCAATTGTATACGAGGTTTTTCAAAATATATGAATTTAAGAGAAATAGTTATTTATCAAAAAATTAGAAAATTGTTCTCTGAAAATTCGTATCACAATTTTCGACTTTACCAAAAAACTACTTTTCTTAAGAGAAAGAGATAGAGAGGTAGATTTATATTTTTTGAGCCACCTTCTACGCAACTAAAAAACATCTTATTCCATTGTTGCATTTTCGTTTTTAGACCATGTAGAACGTTTGATGATGAATAAATTTTATCGATATATTAATATATAATCTGCTTAGTTTTGATATAACTGTAATGTAAGAACAATTGTTCTTGCAGATTTGGAAGTCTAGATAGAAGAAAAAATAAGAGAGTGCAAAGGAGAATATCCCCGATAGACAGTAAATCTGCCACTCTTGCTACAGTTCCAACTCACAGCGATCAAATGAGCGCTACATTTGTTAAACCTCAGGTAAGAATAGTTGATCTGATGGAGTTGTTTTTTATGTGTGTGGTGAAAACCTTCTCAAGTATTATGCCATGTATTCACGGGTTATTTTACATGGGCAATAAAACAGATTTTTGCAAATTTAGGTCGCAAATAGAAGATCCCAGGATCATAGACAGCTAGTGAGAACTCAATCCTTAGGAAGTGTAGGACAGACAATTGATAGTGTATATCCTAGTGATGACACTTCGTCTTGTGAAAGTGACAACCGCAGTTTTAAAGATGTTCGTGGCGTCCGAAAACAGAAGGAAAAAGAATGGTAAGTTTTTATGATTGTCATTTACAATTAATTGATCTAGTAAAACTGCTTATGCAGAAACATCGAATATGCATGGAGGTTCAACCTGTATATTCAATAAATTGAAGTGATTTCCATTCTGCATTTGTTTTAGTGATTGTCTTTATTGACTATTTGATAATATTTTTTTGCAACTTTGTAATTGTGAAACAGAATTTCACCACAAAATACGTTATGTGTAGCTGTTCTTTTTGTTACTAGTTTATGACTAGTGGTTTAAGTACAATTTTAAGAATTTATAAAACCACCTTTAGAACTTTTACTCACAAATTAAGAAAATAAGCATCTGCCAAAGAAATGGTTTTATATTGCCAATTAGTAGTCTCAGCGAGTGCGATACTTATCGCCTCAGTTCACTCTTCCCAAACGTAACAGATTCCACTAGATTTATTTTGGGTACCCCAAATTTAAAATATTCTTGTCCTAAATTCCTCTTAAATTGAGAAATATTTGTACTAGTTTTCCTGGCTTTTATTTAGTGGATTTATGACTCGCGCGAGTTCCATTTTATATTAACACCAATTGTAACATCGAGATAATTTATGCGCAAACCATTAATCGCTTGTCGGATTGCTGCACTGTTTGAGAAAATATGAAATTGCTGGATTTAACACAATTACGACACTATGCGAATATTAAATATTACTTGTTCGAGTATTCAGTCAAGCAGTGAATGGCGAACGCGCATTTACCGTTGTTTACTGCCGTGTGCTACAAGGTATCAAGGTTGAATCGTTCTTTTTGGATTGTTTTATATTTGATTCTTTTTTGACTTGCAGTTGTTAAAATACATATTTTCTGCAAGCCATGCGGGGAATTATTAACAAGTTTGGTCGTGTTAGATTCGGTTTTAAATATTCAAATACAGTGAAATTTGCCGATAGTTGACGCAGTTATAGTGAATTTTCGCAGATAGATTGGGGGATTTTTCGAGGCAAGCATAATACAATTTTTGTCCGTATTTCATTAATTCGTTTATGACAAAAATGAAAAGTGAACAAAATTTTGATTTATACAGGGTGAGTCAGAGAAGCAACATCTCCCCTCTTTTTTTCTGTCGCTATTTCTGTAGGATCTATGTGGAGGGTGTTGCTTCGCTGACTCACCCTGCGTAACGTAAGTAGAAATATTTATCTCGTAGTGGACTTTTCTGGGATTTTCCGGCAAATTCGCGCATTGCAAGCAAAAAATATCGGGCTTATTAAATGTTTGTTTATATTTACTTACGAATGTCTTCACGTTACCTCGTGAATCGTGTTCCATCCAAAATACAGAATCAATTACGTAAAGCTTTAAGGGTGATGAAATTAGAAGACAGCATGAAACGGCGTGATGCCTGTCGATTCATGAGTTTGCCTGAATTTACTACGCCAATCATTGAAAAAATATAATACTGTTATATTTGTTAGCTAGCTCATGAAAATCTAGATCAAACCATATCAAATTACCTAATTCTTTAAGAAGAGGCTTGTGAAATTGTTGTTGAAATTTCAAAATAAGTTAAAGTTAAGAGTTCGAATTGGATAGAAGACTTTGAGAAGAGCCAGGGTATGATTGGGGAAAACATTGTTGGGGATTCTGCATCAGAGGATATGAATATGATCAGTGTGTTGAAGTATAACAGTAACGTTCTTAATGCCGATGAGACTGGACCTTTCAACAACCTTATTATTCTAAATATAATAAAATTTAAAGACGAACATTGTACTGGCCTGGAAAACATTGTACTGGGAAAGTTGCCTACGGTCAGATGAAATGTTTTAACAGCTACTAACATGTCTGAGTAGGAAAACTATTGAAAATGTGGGAGTATTACTTCCAAAAGCGAAATGGAGTTTTTCGTGGTCCATTTAGATGCAATATATTTCACTAATAGAGATTGACAGAAAGTTACTAAGGAAACAATGGCAAATCGCTTTGACCAGTTAGGATTGATGAAACGTGGAACGGGTTGATACAGATGATGAATTGCCAATGAATGAATGGTTCCAGAACTAATCAAAGAGTCTAACAATAAACTTGTGATAATGGTCCTTCAATCAAAGAAATGATGCTGAAAATTACCGAACGTAGGAACTTTTCCCTGACACGTAATGTTCCTGAAGAAGTTTAGAATAGTTTATGCGTTCTGGAAAGCAACTTAAGCTACATTCGCATGAGTACTGAACGAGTCCAAAGTAAACTTCTGATTATATTGATAAATCGCAAGATTAGGATGATTTTTGAGTAAAACGTTTCATTTCCGTTAAGTATAGATGTGTCCCAATGTCAGTAAATCACTATCTCGGATTAAATAATAAACAGTTCTTTTTTTCACACACAGCTGCCCACTTGAATTGACCATCCGCGCAACTGTTATTTAATATAGGTACACATAGTGTTTTAAATGGTCTGTATTTGAAATTGAAAGCCGCTTCTATACAGACACTTAGTTACAGTCCCACATAATGCAGTTGATCAATTTTAAATGACGCAACTGAAAACACTTGAACCCGTCCAACGATTTATTTTGATTTTTAGGTTGGAGACTTCCCTAGATGGGCCAATATCGCCAACATCTGTAACATCGCGCTCACAGTCAACTCTGCCTTCATCATTTGAAGAAAAATATGTTGCACGCACACCACCTCCTCCACCACCACCACCTCAATTATCACCTCATGTATCTCCACAGAAGAGTCCAATGTTGCACCCCATACCAGTGCAACATATCCAGCATAGACAAAGAAATCCATCACCTCTACAATCGCCTCTTTCCCCAAAACCCCTGTTGGAAATTCCAGCCGAATCTAATCCGTCTCCCAGAGTACCTGAACCGCCCAATCTCGAACTTTTGAATAACAATATTCCCAAGAATTGTACCATTGTGCAAGCGGGGGTTGTAAAGCCGTATCATGAAGAAACCAAGCCGTTTGAAATGTCCGATTTTTATAAATATTCAACAAAGTTTAAGAAATCGCCCCAAAAGGAACTGGAGAAGGGAATTAGTCAAGCACCAGCAACTACCGTGTGCCGCCAGAACTTAAATGACAACTTTGAGGATTCGATTAATATGAATCGATACCCTGTTCGAGTACAACAACAGTATATGCAGCACAGGTAATAAATTAATTGTGTGATTTTGGAACCTGTACCCGAACAATAAAATTTCATTCAACTTAGTTTTTTAACGGTTAGTTCAGTTGGTTAACTAAAGCTTGTAAATATCAATCCGAAGCAGTAGATGAAAAATGAATTATTTTATTATTCAACAAAGAATTGACCAATTTGATTATACTTTTACGCCAGTATAAGCAGCCACTTGAATGGTAAGAGATTTAATTATAATATATAATAACAATAATCATCAAGATATAACTTAAAGTTAACAAAGATAGTGAAGAAGAAATCAAAAAGGTCAATCTTCCAATTTTGAATGTGCAAGATCTAGCCTCCATTTGAATGAATTCGCGTTTTTCTTTGAAAACGTTGAAGACGTTCCTGTCATCGATTTTCTGGGCGTGATGCCATGCAGGAAAACCTATTTTCCTAACAGTTCGGCCATTCCGACAAGCCATTTTTGATCGATAAGATCCAATGAGAAAACCTGCGGTAGAGACGCACAAATCATACAATCTAAATAGTGCGCAGCTCTGATCAATACCACAGTGTTTTTCCTAATATTTCGGTGCTATTTAGACTAACATATAATTTTAGATAATATAATTATTTTGCTTTGATATTTTTGTCCAAAGATACATTTTTGCTCACATTCAGCGGCTTTTATTCCTCCCGTATCTAATTTGCCATCTTCACATACCATGCTTATTAAGGAAATACGTATTATGGCGCCTTTGTAGTTTCAAAATTAAAAATAACCTTTTCAAGTCACTTTTGCTTTTGATGTAGTAATCCGAAACCTTTTACTGTCGTCTTACAACAGATTGTTCACTGGAAATAATTAGTTGAATAATTAAAACAATTTACTAATAATACGTAATTATTAATGTGTTTTTTTTTCAGTTCTGCTAGAGAATCAGGTACAACCCAAAATTTGAATAACAGTCTCGATCTGGCGCAAATAGGGGTATCTGAACGATTTTCCGAAGAAATGAACGCTTGGTACGAAGATCAAGAGAATCAGAGCGAGAATAATAATGCCAGGTCGTCGAAAAGTCGATCCAGCGCTACTTTAGTTTAACTGTTTCGTATTTAAAATTGTTAAGTAATTTACATGTTGCAGTTTGTCTTGCTTTGTTTTAAATAAGCTAAATCAAGTACTAGTTTTGTTCATTGATTTTTTTTAAGCCAGACGAGCGCATATAAAATAAACTGTTTAAAAAGTTTCTTGCTCAAAATTGTTGATATTTCTTATATCCTTGTTAATAAAGTTGTTTAGGTCTGGACTTGTATGTCCGGGGTTGTCTATATGTGAACAGTACAATGCAATAAAATATAACAATAAAAAGTATGAAATCCTGTATTTTAACAAGATTTTTTAAATATTACTCTGTACTATATTTTTATATAAAAGATTTAATAGTTATAAGAAAGTGTTATATTTATATATATCTCTATGCATAGGAAAGATCACCAAATAGTTTCATATATGATGATACTACAACATTGTTTTTTAAGTGGCGTTTATAATGTTACGTACACTTATGTTAACAATGAAAGAATAGCCGATTGTTGAATATATTTGTTGGAGAAACATTATTTCATATATTTGGCAATACAGTTTTCAATCATGAAAATTGTTGCAGACTTTCAACAATATCGCTACATGTTAAGTGCTTCAAAGTTTGGCTACGCATTTTGTATGATTTTAGTGCTTATTTTATATAGGGAATATGTATTTTTACTTATGGTTATTTCATTTCTTTTAAATATTGAGCTATCAACAGAATTTTGAATCAGAAGTCATTAAACTTTTTTATGTTAGAATACAACAGATAATTTTTGACGGTGTTTTGTGTACATATACATTCATGAATCTAGATAATTGCATTTTACTTTGATTGTTGATCTCAATAATGTGATGTGATAACTTTTTCTGATCAAATGTAGACACAAATTTAATCATCACATAATACCGTTGAAAAGTAATTTTTAACTTTTATTATGTTATTTGGCAGAATGTGATCGATGTGAAGATAGTTGTTATGTAGTCCTGAATGTACCTAAACAAATTATTTGCTCGTGCTAATTTTCAACTAATTTGTATTCATTAGAAGAAATTTTACTTATTTTGATACTCATAACGATATTACTATAGAAGAATGTTCTGGACGATATGCCAACTATTCTCACAAAAGCAAGTGAAAATTTGCTTTAGGCATTCCTTTTTTAACTGTGTTTGTAAGACTCTAAGCATCTTGTGCCTTGGAGAAGATGTTTCTTCGATAAATCAAGTAGAGAGCGTTGTGATTTTTAGCAATATATGGACTTCTCGGACTGACCAAAGGAATGACTAGTTTTTTACTGATGACTTTTATTGTACCTAAATAAAATATGTTTTTTAAACAAAAGTATTCAAATTAGTTTTGACTATATTTCCACTCCCTTCCTCAGACCATTTAAATGTTTGCCTCAGAATATTTGCTTAGTTCCAGTAGCAAACTTAGAATTCATTAAAATTAAATCTACGATAAATCACCTAATTTTTCTGCATGAAAAATAGAATACAAAAAAGGTTAATGTTATTTCTGGCCTTATTCAGCTTATGGGCAAACATATACATAGTTTCATTTAACCATTCGTCCTTCAAAATTTTTCATAAAATTTTTGTACAGTGGAATTTGCATTGTATTGGGCTAAATAGCTATAAGTATATGTTGCTTCCTTCCTGTGTAGTAACACTTAGTGGATTTATTTTGAAATATTATTTTATTTGAATTAGATTCGTACAACATTAAACACAATAAAGATTCATTAGAATTATGGTAAAGCCTGGTACAAGTAATATGAAATTTGTACCTATATGATATTAAAACGTGTTGTAACCTGTATTACACGTGCTTTGAGAAAATCACATAAATGTAGAAACAATCATATGGTCGATAATAAAATTCAATAAATACAGGTATCATCATACATTGCTGGCTTTTAAAATGGCGAAAATAAATTAAACGTTATTTATGATTTCGTCTTGGATACAACCGTGATTAATAACTCAAAACCTTTGATGCAACGATTAGTAAAGTTCAAAATAAAAATATGCTTTTCAGCTCGTGTGTTAGATTATATTTCTATAAGAATGCCGGTTCAAGATGGCAGGAAATCGACAAGATTTATTCACTAGCAAATAAATTATTTTGATCATTAAAATTAGGCAAATAAGTACTAATTAAATGAGAAACTATATTTCGTTCGTCGTTTAATATGTATATAGTTCCATTTTATTGTTCAGGAATTTACTTTTACGAGTAATATCCATTGTTTATAAACCACGTGGTTTTAGACCACCGCCCGATTAGGTTATTTCAAATACTCTCTTAAAGTTCCTATTTCGTGTTTCTTTCATACTGGAGATTGTTGGGTTTATTAAAGGTCTAATTTACAGTAACATGGTTGACTTCATTGGATTAATATTCTATATGATTTCGACTTAATAATTAAACAAGACATGTAACGAATATTTGTATAACATAGGGAAAATAGTATTTTCATTTAGTTTTAATTGTTAATTAGACAAACTAAATATTGATACATGTGTCCAGATTTATAATTTAAATACTCGACATTATTATCGAAAATATTTATACTCGATTACATTATTGAATATTGCACAATGTGCTAACACGTCTGCCAGCATGTAATTGCGATTTTTCTTTAGCATTTTAAAGCCGAAAATTGAAAAGTAGGTTTCACCATAAGGCTAAAACCTAACAATCCAATTCAAAGGAAGTGGCAAATGGAAGGCGTATTGTAGCAATGTCGATGATCTCCTTAGCGAAAATAAAAATGTATAAATAGCGTCTCATTTTTCGTTTATTTCATCGATATGTTGGTCAAAATGTTTTCGAAATTATCATAATTCGCTAATAGTAAGTGCGTCGGACTTTATTCTTCAATGCAATTTATCTTAGTATTGTAATTTAGATTTGGAAATAATTTTTTATAAATATTTTATCGAAGTGATGCTGTAAGCACATCTTGCTGGCGGCAAAATTTTGAACGTCGACATCAACTGCGCATACTCGGTATGATTCGTAGCGTTTCCGGTACGTCATTGAACGAGTAGGCTACGAAAGTGGGAACGGAGTTCAATCCCATAGTCTCTTCCTTTTTGACTGACTCGTTGCACGGTACAGCTGCTGTCTCGTTAAGTTGTTAAATTCCAAGTGTTCATTATATTTTAAGTTCGTTCAACTGTTGCATTTAGAGAATTCCAAACAGTAAGTACTTTTAATCGTTTATTTAGGCATAAAAGGCGCTCCAAATTGCTATATTTCTCGTGCGAAAAGAAAATTGTCGGCATTCACCACGTGTAAGCTGGGCTTCGTTTTAATGGCTGCCATATGCCATGAGTAACGTAAAATTTCATGGGATCAGCCCAATCTGATACCTTTTACAGTTTAAAGCTTTGCAAAAGGTTGCAAATATTCTGTAATTTTATTTTCATATTGGAGAAACGTGGTTTTAGCGATTATTCAATTTTTTTCGGGCAACGCCGACACCGATTAACTGAATTGCACAATTTCCAATTTCCACCTGTTGGTTTATGCAAATAACAATATAAAGAGCTATTTTGACCGGCTAATGCTTTCTAATTAATTTCCTGAGCTTAACGACATTTTTTTTTACTTTCAGGTCGAAATGGGTAAAGAAAAGGTTCATATTAACATCGTGGTCATCGGTCACGTAGATTCCGGTAAATCAACAACTACCGGACATTTGATCTACAAATGTGGCGGTATCGACAAACGTACCATCGAAAAATTCGAGAAAGAAGCCCAAGAAATGGGTAAAGGTTCTTTCAAGTACGCGTGGGTCTTGGACAAACTGAAAGCCGAACGTGAACGTGGTATTACCATTGATATTGCTCTATGGAAATTCGAAACATCCAAGTACTATGTCACCATCATTGATGCTCCTGGGCACAGAGATTTCATCAAGAACATGATCACTGGAACCTCTCAGGCCGATTGTGCCGTCCTGATCGTAGCTGCTGGTACTGGTGAATTTGAAGCTGGCATCTCCAAAAATGGACAAACCAGAGAACACGCTCTGCTTGCTTTCACCCTTGGTGTGAAACAACTTGTCGTGGGAGTCAATAAAATGGACTCCACCGAACCCCCATACAGCGAAAGCCGTTTCGAGGAAATTAAGAAGGAAGTCTCTTCATACATCAAAAAGATTGGATACAACCCAGCTGCTGTGGCTTTCGTCCCAATTTCTGGATGGCACGGGGACAACATGTTGGAAGCTTCCGCCAAGATGCCATGGTTCAAAGGATGGAACGTTGAACGCAAAGAAGGAAAAGCTGAGGGTAAAACTCTCATTGACGCTTTGGATGCCATTCTGCCACCCTCACGCCCAACCGACAAACCTCTGCGCCTTCCCCTTCAGGTAATTTTGGTTTTTAGTTGTGAAAGATTGTTTTATATATCTACTTGATATTAACCGAATTTTTGTAATAGGATGTCTACAAAATTGGAGGTATTGGAACAGTACCAGTGGGCCGTATCGAAACTGGAGTCCTGAAACCAGGAATGGTCGTCATGTTCGCTCCTGCTAATATCACCACTGAAGTCAAATCTGTGGAGATGCATCACGAAGCCCTTCAAGAAGCTGTGCCCGGAGACAACGTTGGATTCAACGTCAAGAACGTCTCAGTTAAGGAATTGCGTCGTGGTTACGTCGCTGGAGACTCCAAGAACAACCCACCCAGAGCTGCCGCTGATTTCCTTGCACAAGTCATCGTGCTCAACCACCCAGGACAAATCTCTAATGGATACACTCCGGTATTGGATTGTCACACAGCTCACATTGCCTGCAAATTCGCCGAGATTCAGCAGAAAGTCGATCGTCGTTCGGGAAAAGCAACCGAAGAAAATCCCAAGGCCATTAAGTCAGGGGATTCTGCCATTGTTAATTTGGTTCCTACCAAGCCAATGTGTGTGGAGTCTTTCTCTGAATTCCCACCTCTTGGACGTTTTGCTGTTCGAGACATGAGGCAGACTGTAGCCGTTGGAGTTATCAAAAGCGTGAACTTCAAGGACGCTGGAGCTGGGAAAGTAACGAAAGCTGCTGAGAAGGCAGCAAAGACGAAAAAATAATAATTTATTTTTCGTTTTTGATGCAATAAGCGTTTGGAATTTTAGTTATTGCTTTTGGTAATAAATGAAAAACTAAACTTGCTATTGCATTCTTTAAAATATATGTAATAATTTTTACAGTTAAATACAATTAGCAATTTACAACTGTAGTTTGCTTTTTGTAAAATTAAACTTAGTTTCATGACGAGTTTGTTCATCTTTCTTCAGTTTAAAAACTCGCCGTTTAATTTTGTTCTAAACTGTTTTAAGGACAGACCAATAAATAAGATTTCTTAATTTGTTGTTTTTTCCTTCCTACCCTCCCTCAAACATGAAATTCTTTGTCAGGATTTAGTAGACGTAATTTTCACTAGTAATTTAGGAAATAATTCTTGCACTTCCAGCAATGCCGTTCTTAAATATTTATAATTCGGTTTGAACATTCCTGTATTGGGTTAGTTTGGGCTCCCGTCCGTTATTTGCGGATTTCTGTAATGGGGATTGAGAGTCCTTACTTATGGCGAATAGGGAAAAACAGGCTGTTGACTTCTCTTCGTAAAGGTTTTGAGGAAATTATATTTCACTTGTTTGCGTTTGGTGCATTTTCAACCTCTTTCATTCCTTAGGGTTCTGTTGATTTGTTTGATGAGTTAAAAAAGCTGGATTATTCAAGCTCAGGAATAGTTTCGGTAAATTGTCATTTTGTGGTGAAGCGGCACATAAACAAACTCTTCTCTGAATAAATTTACATCTTGATTGTTTGCTCAGTTTTCATAAAACTTCATTTACATTATGAAAATTTATCAATTAATACTATAAATTAAAGGACATTATGATATGCTTGAAGCATTATTGGAACCTAATTCGTACTTAAGCTTTTCAGTCTCGGATCTCAGATTCACAAGTACATTCAAATCTCCCGCTGAACACAATCGGTAAAGAAGATTTCTACAAGCGATTAGAATTCACGACTGGTTCAAGTCGCTCTCACTAGAATAAGCGGCAAACAGCATTCTACAGACTCATATGACAGGTTCCAATTTATAACCTCTGTGCACAGATCACACACACTTTGTAATCTGTGCCTCTGTGTTCTGTGAGCTTAACTCAGTCAATCTGTGAACGTATTGTTTGTTAGTTCATAGTATATTGTACAATGTGCAGGTCAATTGTTTGTTAGATCGTAGGAAATTTCACTAAATGTACAATTTCTTTAGTTTGTTTTTTAGTTGTTTGTTGCTTATATCGTTCATAAGTTCGGATACGTTTTAGTAGTATTTAATTGTTGTGGTGCAAAACTGTTTTTCATCTGAGGACATTCCTTGAATTCCGAGTATTATGGTGCATCAGAGATCAACATAGGTATGTATGTATCTATCTCATTTTTGATTGATATTTTTCTTAATTTAACTTACAAATAGTTATGGACCCTTGTTCGACATTTACTAGTTCTGGGTTTTTTCGCATTGGTTAGTTTTGCGTTTCTGGTTTTATACATAAGTGTTTTTGTCGACTTATTTCTTTGCAACATTTTTTAAATAGGACAAAGTTTTACCATATTTTAAATGTTATCTTCTTGAAAAAGTTGCCACTTTCTGGGTTTTTTAATGGAATGTTTACATTTATCAACTAGGTACAACTTATCGACAGATATGTTTTCTTTTACCAATTCCAAGAATTAATACTTCAATATTTTTAGCATTTTTTCATTGCTTTTTTAGCATTAGTGCTGACAATTGGTTTATAAATTGTTTTTCTTATCAGATATTATTCTAAGGTTAAAAGTTTCGCAGGAACCGAACTTTATTTGAAACACAAATTATTTAATCTTTATGTGTGTGTCAGTACGTATTTCTTCATGAACCTACATAATATACAGGGTGTCCCATAAGCACATGGTCAAAAGGATATTGCACTGCGATATTCTTTGCATCAAAAGAAGACGATCTGACCTAACTTTTATTTGATCAGTATAAATAAGTTCAGTTTCTTGACGAAATCTAATAATTGCAAGGTGGTTGAATTTCTTGAAATCATTTTTTGTACAGCTTCATGAAATATTTAATCTTTTAGTCACACTGTTTGGTCATAATTTGTCTTGGATTACACAAAACATTTATTCACCATCAACATGTTTTTCTGCAGAAATAACGAGACTCCACTAAATACAAATTAATGATGAGCTGAAAGCCCTGTACATCTAATTGATTTGACTTCCACATTTCAAATTCCACTAACTTATTAACAAAAAATGTCTGGCTCCTCTGCTATTGATGGTCAAAGTTTTACAAAAAATTATATTTTTTGAAATATTGGGAGAATGGAAGGTACGATCTATTTTAACGAAACTCGCTGTGCATTTGTTCTTCTGCAAGACTCATATTGAGATGAAATAATCGAGTTTATCCGTTTTGGACAAGTGGTGAATTCTTGAGTGTCGTGGTACAAAAACTACCAGAACTTTTTATTTGGTGGATGAAAGTAATTTCAGTAATTTCTAGTAATTTTCTAAGTAATTTCTTTTTGGTTGGTGCACTAATCCTTTATTCACAATTTGGTGCTCTTTGTAAAATTTATAGCATTCATAGTTTTTGCGAAAAAAAAAATTCTGTTTTCTTGCAACTTAACAATGTTGGACATTAACTGCAAATATCGTGATACAAGGCATAAATTAATTGTAACTTTTCAGCTCAAAATCGTAATTTTTATTCGATTTGAGACGGTTTTAGTAAGGTCACCTAACAGGCAAAGTCACATTTCGACAGGTTCGGTCTATTCTTTAGTATCATATGTTACACACGCTGATGAGATTTATACCTATACATCTCATCCATTTTCCAAAAGTCCGTTTCGTGAAAAAAAAATTTGTTCACGTTAATGATAAAAATAAATGCAATTTACTATAACTTTTTCCAAAAACATCTTAAAATTTTAATTGTTTTTATCATTACAAATCTTTGTAGTTTATTTAGTGGATTATCCGATAATTATAAAACAAATGAATAAAACACTGCTATCGAACAACTGAAATGAATGACATTTCAAATTAACTTATAACTACAGTGGTGTCTGATCTGAACTAAAAAGAACACAATTCTAAATCGACTTCATCAAGTCTGTAATTTTTGTTTGTGCATTTCTGCTGCAAAAATAGATGTTTTTTATATAGTTTTCAAGATTTCAAAATGACTCCCATAATGATTAGGAACTTGGCGTGATTGTAAAAATTCCGAGTTCTGACACTTTTTTGTCATTTCCGAATGGTTGGAACAGTATTAGTGTCTACAGTAGAATTCGTTTCACTCAAATCGTCATCTTCATTATCGCTTAATGTTGTGGATGAATTTACGGAGTCTCTAATTTGATCATCGGTCAACATTTCTCTTGTAAGAATGTCATTATCAAAGCTCACATATTCGGTGATATTGAAATCACTCAAATTGTTTTTAACTTTTTCTTCGACAAAATTGTGCACATCTTCATCTGAGTCATACTCGTAGTCAAAGTACATACTTTATGCTTTTCCAACCATTGGTTAAGTAGAATTTCATCGTCTGGTTCATAATCGCTTTCATTTCATACAAATCCACGATGCTTAAAGGAATTTGCAATTATTTTTCTCGGCTAACTTTTTGCCAAGTTCTATGAATGCAATTTACTGCATCTAACAGACTTACAGAAAATTTTTCATTTTTATCGGTTGCTAACATTTTCTTAAGCAGATTTTTTCTGAAATGACATTTTAGCGAATGTATTACTTCTTGATCCATAGGTTGGAGCTTCGCACTTCTGTTCGGGGGCATAAAAACCAACTTGATTTGTTCTGATTTAATATCTTGGTGCTATAAACCATCGTCAAGTTTGTTATAAACTGAAAATGAATATACTAACTAAACTAAAAAGCCACCCTTATATCCGGAACTTCGTTATAAACAGGATCGTTATAACCAGTAAAAAATAAGTTGGCCTCTATGGATGACGTTTCAATTAAAGGAAAAAAGTTTGTTTTAACCGAAAGTTCACTATAACCGGATTCATTATAAGCGGACTTTACTGTACTTAAAACTATCGAATAATTCGAGAGTTCCCATCACTAGTTTTTGGTAGTCTGTGGTTTAACTTTGCACCATTAATTATGGGACACTCAGTATACATAAATAGGTATCAGTCAAAATAGTGGAATAAAGCAATAAAAAGCATTCTTTCTGTATAGTGTATAAATAAGGGTACTGCTCGAATGCTATTAAAATTCCATGTAGAAGTGGCTGGGAAACAGCTTTGGGATATTTTGGGCATATAATCTTAGATAATTCCTATTTCCGGCTATTGTCAATTGTTAGGTGTCGGTAAGTTTTAACCTAACTTAAATATGTATTGGTAAGTTAGGTTAAGTCTTAATGTTTGCCCTGCCTTTAAGAACTATGTGTTTTAAATTTGTGCAATTAATTATGCGACATCCGGTACTTTAGTATCTAGTATATACAAATATAAGTCAAAATGGTGGGAAAAAAAACGGTTTTCGTTCTTGTACGGAACATTATTTTATATTTGAAAGTATGAAATGACGCGAATAACATCATTTCATAATTTAATTTGTATGTCAATGTCGTTTTCACATTGTCATTGCGAAGTCAAATTTTGACGTAAATTGTTTTGCGTTTACAGATTTTAAAAGCGTAATTTTTCTCAAATACCACATTTAATAATAACGATAATTAATTAATAGTGTAACGTTTGGTAAAGCAATTAATAGCTAAAACTATTTATGACAATGTTAATAATGACAATAATTTTAATTTGACATACTTAAATGACACATAAGCAAATGCTTCTTGTTGGTCATGGCTTCTGTGCGAAAAGTGGCAGCTTTTGATTCATTCAATTAGACATTGTTTTTATTCGAATTAATTTAAAATGATCATCAGTAACCATGATGATAAAGAAGCACTTTTAATGTGTTCTAACTGTGCACACGGTCGCATTGTTTTACTTTTCCACACAATAGGTCAAAAAGTATAAATGTCAAGCCGAAGTTCGTGTCATTGTGTACTAGTTTTCACTAATCATTGATTTACCAAATGTTTCACTATTAATTTAACATTATTTTTATAATTTAAGAAACCTTTGCTATTAAAAAAAAAAACGCTTTTGAAAAACTACAAAAAACACAATTTACGTCAAAACGTGGCTTGGTAATGCCATAATGTGAAAAAAGACATTGATATAAAATCATGTTCGGTACGAGGGCGAAAGCCGTTTTTCGAACTTCTGGACTTCATCTTATGTGGCACATGCCGAAAAACGACATCGCTTTTGTATCGAAAACTATTATTCTGTATAATATATGTGTTTCCGGTAATGTGCAAAATGCTTGGCATTCTGCAAACTCACCAACTCGCCTGGCATTTTGCAGAATCGCTACTAATTGAACCTAACTAACCATCAGTTTCTCGTTCCTCAAAAAAACCCTGAATCTTGAATATACAGGGTGTCCCGTAAGCACATGATCAACAGGATACTGCCATATTCTTGGCATCAAAAGAAGGCGATCTGACATAACTTTTATTAACAAAAAATGTCAATGTAGTAGTGTCCGCTGCTATTGATAGTCAAAGTTCTTCAAAAAAATTATCTTTTTTGAAATAGCGGGAGAATGGTAAGTACGTATGTATTTTGGTAAAACTCGCTGTGAATTTGTTCTTATGTAAGACTCATATTTTGATGAAACAATCGAGTTTATCCGTTTTGGACAAGTGGTGAATTCTTGAGTGTCGTGCTACAAAAACTACCAGAAATTTTTATTTGGTGGATGACGAAACATCCTGTATATCCGCAAATGGACTTATTACGGGCGTTGCAAACTGGTATTTTCAAACAGTGTTACAGTTTACCCAATATACAATACCATGACTATTTAATTCTCTGAATGCGATTTTTTATTCTAAAATCAGATCTATATTTTTTCTACGCATGTGCATTACACGTGTGTTGATAATATTTGTAATTTTTGAAGTGAATTTGCAGGAAAGAGACCCTTCTTAAAATGGTTGCTGATACTCTCAAATGGTAAATGATTTTACAAGTAATGTAACTGTCTAAATATAGTGATAGCTTTTCCGCAGCTTAGCGAAGTATTAATTGCTTATCTCTCTTAATGTCTGTATTTCTAGAGAAGCCATTCGAATATAACTGTTCTAGTAAGTCATTCCTGCCAAGTAAAATCAGCAACTTATTAATTATCGAACAACTGTGTAGTAAATAATACATTTAAACACTCACTATTAAAACGAGTTTTTATTTCAAGTATAGGCAAATTAATAAGGTTAGATACTAATAAGTTGCCCGAAACATGAGGATCACCATATA